TTACTTCCTGATTTATTTTACATGGATTACAGAAGACCTGCTCGAACTAGTCACTTAACAGAAGTCGGAGAGTTAACTGAGATATATGTATATTTAACACCAATCTTTACAGATACGGCGCCAAATAATCAGGGGTGAACGAAAAAATATAGGTACAAAAGCGGGGAAATTAAAACTTCGGGGAGTAACAAATTTTGTGTTTACTGCACGTCATTTGAGTTTTTTCTCATTTTTGTTCATTTTTGGGATTGCAGACAAGAGAGGATGTATTCGCGCCACTGACTTCGGTTCGATGCTATGTCCCGCAGTGTCTCCAGCCAAAGACGATCTGAATCTTTGGGGCCCCAGGTGGGGAGCCGAGAAACCCCAACGGAAGCCAGATCCGAGCACAATCTCTTTAACCCTCTGCGCCACGTCATAGCCTGCCCACCCCACTGTTTCTTCCAGCCTGGACCGATGTCTGCGAATAGTGTACGGTGTGGCAGACGGTGCTCAGGCACTCGTAGGACGTGCCCTAGCCACCTAAGACAAAGCTATGAAATTATTTTGCTCAAAGGAAGACTATCTGGTCCTAGCACCCGTCGTCTGACTTCATCGATATTCAGGCGATGCTCCCACCATAGCATTCAATAAATCCACTCCACTCCCGGGGACGCACCAATGAACTAATCCTGATGAGTATCAGGTAAACAATCTTAGCATACGTTCTGTAATTAGTTGGATGCGATCAAAACTAGATCGACGAACCCAAATAACCGTATATAATTGTAATGGCCAGTTGATGAATTTATCGGAAAGCGCCTTGTTTCGCCTATCGGAATTTGTTTTCAATGTGGTAATGGGCATTACTCATTTACCTTCACTGATAGTGGAGTTGTGATGACGTGAAATACTTTTTTAACAAGAATGACTACCCACGAAAAATTCGAAGGTAAACTAAGCATATTACGTCGGTCGTCTCAGTTATTACAAACCAGTTCAGTTCACTTTGTACAACCATTAACCAGGCACTTCCGTGCGCCGGATTTGGTTGCTGTCTTTTGGCTGCCCCTTTGGAACAGTAGGAGAAAGACAAGACAGTAGAGCCGAATTGAAAATGAAAAAATTTCAGTGGAATAACGTTGCGAAGAAATTGAGAAGATGCATGAACACCATTGTTTACGACACTCAGCCATATCACTCAGTGTCTCAAACCATCGATTAAGATCATCCCGAGGTCCCCAGCCAGGGAGCCTAACGGGACTTGTGTGACTCAGTCCCCTGGTTAGGATTTTCATACCTTTCTGCCAGGTCTTAGCTTAACCATCCTTGGCTTCTTTCTACCCACTACCTGCCTCGGCGAACATCGCTCGCCGTGGCAACCTATTTGGTGACATGCGTAACACATGTCCCAACCAACGTAACCAATGGAGGTCGACAACTACCCCCAATGGGTCACCGCGATTACCTAAAAATTCTACGCCTTATCTCGGAATTGCTCGTCCGGCTGCGTCACCAGATTCGAGCAATGCTGCATAGACAGCGGTGTTCAAACACCGACAGTCTATCTCTATTCTGTTTCCTTAATGGCCTAGCTTCTGTGCCGTATAGCAGAACTGGTCGAACTGCCGCAGCATACACTCGATCCTTCGCAAACAGCCGGATGTCGCGACGGCGCCACAGATGTCTCAAGTTGGCAAATGCCTTCAGTGTGCGCGCCGACACTTCATCCGTGATGCGTCCACCGGGTGAAATGTAGCTGCCCAAGTAGCAAAACCTATCCACCTGCTCTAATATTTCCCCAGTTAAAGTGAGGCTGAGGGCTGGATTAACTCAATCTTGTAGTAGCATTTTACACTTTGAAGGTGCAAAACGCATACCGAATATGGTTACACTAGCACTGAAACTACCCAGAAAAGCTTGCAACTTACCTGGATCTTCAATTAGTAGCACAATGTCGTCTGCATACTCTAGATCAGACAGTCTGCCACCTGGGAGTAAATCAGTGCAGCTATCCTCGCAGAAGGATAGGGCTGTTTCAAGAATTAAATCTGTGACAAAATTAAGGAAAAAACGAAGAGAGAGAGAGAGAGAGAGAGGAAAACCCAGCAGAACAATACTTTCCGTGATTCATTACAAACCAAAATTTGATAAACAGCGAAAAGGGTGAACCCGTAGTCACGAGAATCTATTGCGCACTCGTGAAAACTGATCCTGATATATTTTGATTTATGTAATGGTCTTCCTGCAGTTACTCGTCTGATTCTCGTGTGGTGTTAAAGGTATATTTCTTAATCCAGGCCAGAAGGTTCGTTACTCTAACCCACTTTCATTCATTATGCAAAGCAAATATTTGCCCTACTTTCGAATACCGCAACCTCATGCGAGCTGATGATTCGTCTTCTGTCTTTGCCCGACCGAATTCATCATCATCATTGTACAGCGTAATACAGTGAAGCGAACTTCACTGATCGCTGCCAAACTCATATTGCATAAAAGGTAAGTGATAGTGCGTAATGAGGATAGGGATTGAACTTAACTTTAGGGATGGGAAAAGAAAGCGAACCTCTATGGTTAACACAGAGAACACAGTCCAACTATGCATACATACAATTTCTGGTGTGCTAAGAAGTGACAGCAAGATTACCATTGCTGTCGGTTCGCAGCCATGACCGTCACTGTCTCCAACCATGCGGTTACGGAGTTTTTTGGACCCCAACCCGGCACACCTCTAGCCTTTGCACAATCAAGTGCGAAGTGCAAGGCAGCAGGAAGTAATCCCTCACCTCGGAAGTGATAATGTCGAGGGATTTAGTTTTAAAAGGCCAGTCACATCGACCTTTTTTACGAAACCGTCATTGGGCTTAGGCGGCTTTTAAACAGGAACCAGGTGGCCAGGCTGAAACCCACCACACCCCGGTAGTGTCGCCGCTGCTCGTTCGCGACTGCTTGTTTGTTGCTGTATGCCACAACTTATTCACAGCTTACCTTCTTCGGTGAAGGTA